CGGTGGATTGGGAGATGCCACCGGGTCCACCGTCTCCGAGGATCCCGCGGCCGATGTTGACGACGCGCCCCAGAGGAGGGGGAGGGGAGCGCCAAGAAGCAAAAATTAACCGGACGTTATTTTTTTCTAAGCAGTATTTTTTTCCTTATATCGTGCACGATATTCAAGGTAAACAAATATGCAAAATAAATGAAATTTATTGCTCGCATACTGTTGGTAAATTTTTTTTATGACGAGTGAGAGGGCCGGGGGTCACTAGCGGCGTCCTTTGAAGCTAATGCCGACAAATTTTTTTTGTGTTCTTTTTTTTTACAAACACAGATGATACTTGCATTGCTCATGTTTTGTTTGGTCCCTTCTTTTTAATGTATTATAACTAAAACTTCTATATGCAGTGGCAGGCTAAGAAGGTTGATACACAGTAAAACAGTTCCAAACCTAAAGATGCAAGGCTAAATCTAATTTTGCACATAAATTTTTCAAATTGCACCTAAAAATTTTGCCAATGTGCAATTTTGCACGTACCTGAAAAAAAGTATTTCGAACCCTGGCCTATACCAGTTACCATGGTGAGAGACATCTGGTTCAGGTCATTGACCTTATTTGGAGAAGAAGAGGAAGAAACAGGAAAAAAATATGAGCAAAGATTGAAGCATGAGTAAAGTAGACTTGCAATCTTCTCCACAGCTTTAATAAAAAAACAACAACAAAATGTCTCAAACATTTTTGTATGTGCAAAAAATGGATGTAGGCTAAGATTATTTTCGTTGTCAAGAAATGCCAGTAAGCTAATTGCAAGTACATGTAACATACATATCATGAAAAGTACAATGATGTCATTCCTATGTACACTTAATACTACATTGTAAGCTACGTATATATCATGCCAGTTTTGTTGGGTTTTACTTCTTCTGATCTTTAACTGCTTTTGAGGAAGTAGAAGACGAATTTACCCACTTCTATAATGTGGGTTCTTTGGAAGTAATTTACTAGGCATTAAATCAATGATGTTCATGTAGGGTTTTGAATGATTACTTAGTCTAGCAAAACAATGTGAAAATCTATAGTTGTGTCAAAATTTGGAAACTATACGAGACTAATAAAATATACATGCCTTACAAATTCTATGAAACTAAAGATACATTATGAAATGTGTAATACTCGAAAATTGTAAATTAAAGGAATTGTACATTCTTCAAGTGTTGTGATGTGCTGTTACAGTATCCTTCTGTGGATACCGCACATGGACTGAGTCTACATGTAACTCTAAGTCTGTTTGGTTCCCCCGGTCAGTTTCTCATGGCCCAAGGTCTGCTTCCTTCTCAAGGGGAGGTCCCATCTGACTGTATTATTTAGCATTTCAAAGCTGAGCATGAACAT